GGGCTGGCCTGGAGTCTACATTCCCAGGTTTCCGCCCTGACCCTGACCCCCTCCCTTTCCCTCCTCAGAGCATGCATTCCTCCTGTAGCAGCCAGATAACCAGCCCCAGGGGGAGGCCTGGGGGAAAGCAAGGCATTCTGGGGGCCAGGCTGCTGGCCCTACTTTGGGCTGGCCAAGTCCCTAGTCTATTGCTGGGTCTGACATGGTAGGATGTTCGTTTTCCCTGGAGGTAGCCTCCACCCCTCTAATGGGTCTAGCCCCCCCGCCCCCAGCCAAGGCATCCCTCCACATAACAAGGGCTTTCATCACAGGGACTGAGCCTCACAACCCAGAAAGGCCTTCCTCTACCTCCTTCCCCAAGAATCTCCCAACTTACCTTTAGACGCCAAAGCCCTCCTGAGAACTAAAGCAAACCTGGAAGCCCCTCACAGTAGGCAACGCCTGCATCTCTAGCATTTGCAGCCCTTAGGCAGCCTTTGGCCATCCACAGTTGTGCCTGGGGGGCAGCCACTGCAAACCTGGGGATATTTGCATACCCAGATGGCCAAGCCTGGAATTTCAAAGACTTCCCCATGAGGAGGCCGCTGGCTTCTGGGTGGTGGCCCTGGAGGTTCACAGCTGTTGGATTGTAAGACTGAGGAGCCTAGAGCCCCCAAACACAGAGTACAATGAAGATAGCAATGGAAGAACATTTCCAGAGCTACCAGTTCAGTTCCTGTCCCCAGGTCTCCATCCTGAAGGGGAGGCAGACAAGGGAGATTAGACTATTTGGCTGCCTCTCAGGTACTACAGCAGTGGGCACCAGAGAGAGGTGCTAGAAATAAAACTCCAAACCAAACTCAATGCCATCGTCAATTCTGACTCATAACCACCCAAGAGATCCCCACATTTACATACATGCAGCACTGGACCCATCTTTGCCACTAGGAAATCAATCTGCAGCCAGGTGGGCAATGGCCCTGACTTGTATGCTAGTGAGGCTGTCCATACCCAGTGATGTGGCTACCAGAGTCACAGGCTAGGGTGGGGCTGGGGGCTGGTGCTAATGGCTTGACACCCTGACAGGCTTGGCACTTCTAGGAGTCACTACTAACCCATTTCCTCATCATGAGTACGGGTGAGCGAGGCACTGTTTCAATCCAGTTTTGGACAAATTGTGAGCAAAGCTAAACTCATACAAAGTATCTCCACCCTAACAAATGCCTCTTTCTGGTTTGGTCCTTGCATTTCACTGACCACACACCTGTTATTAAGCTGTGTGTAGCCACTGCCCTCTGCTGGCCACTCAGGAACTAGCAAACTCAAGACCACATCCTTCCTCTCCCCCAATCTAAGCAGCCAGTCACCTAAACTCATCCAATCTGTCTGGTCACCTACTACTGACAATGGAGGTGCGCTAGAGGAGACCTCGCACAAACTTCAAAGGGAAGTGCTTTTCTAACTAGTTTAGACCAGACCCATCACCACCGTCTCTCAGGCACGCCCCTTATTCCTTTCCAAAGGCAGGCTGGAAGTCCTAAAAGAGCACAGGCTGAAGTGACCTGGAGCCATTCTTCCAAGAATTTGACTTCTCTGGCAGGTTTGGGAAAGCCTTGGTTCTGTCATTCAAGCCCTGGCTGCCCTTTGAAACAAGGCCAGTGAGCACAATTCAAAGATGGCCGAGGTGCTGCTGGAGGGAGGATGTAACCAGTATTACCCCCAATATTAATTAGCTGGGCAAAGATCCAGACACCCCTGCCGTCAGGTAGCTCTTGCCAGCTACCTCTAGCATGTGGCATCTGTCTCACTTCTAAGAAGGTGTTGTTTCTGGAGCCTAAGGTTGGGCTGCTATCTATGGGCTACTTCTAGAAGTCTTCAAGTTAGAAGGTTCTGGTAGTTGTTCGCATTTCCTATGGAGAACTTCAAACCTGAGAAAGTGGACAGTTTGAGGAGCAGTTGGGCTAAGGTCACAATTCCCCAACAATTCCTCAAAAATGTTACATTAATTTGGAAGAAGCTCAAATGGAATTCTTGAGGGCAGGAAGAGAAAGCTGGACCTGGGAAAATGGCAGTTGTCACGGCTCAAACCCTGAAAGAGAGCTTGAAAGGAGCCCAGCACTTTCACCACGGCTACTGGCTGCTCCGCTCTGAAGAGTGTGCAGTGGAGGACTGGTCTGCCTGGGCACTCGGCATCTCCTGGACATTCCCAAGGGTGACCAATCATTTGTTTCAGGTGTGGTCAGGTATCTCAGCCTTGGAAAAGGCCACTCTACCAGCAACACTACACACTCCTTTTAAAATAAAACACCAACAGAAAATCCACTCAATTACCAACAATTGAGCTGCTATCTTGGCACTGGGTGTGCATTTAGTTTTACTTCTGCTAAGAGGTAAGATTATACATTGCCTTTGATCAGATGCAGCTTCAAGGGGGTGTGGGGGATAGGAAAACAGACCAACCACTCACTGCAGAAATGTTAACTCTGCTCAACCAGTCCAAGCAGGTTGTTAACTGCATTACACATTCAGCCACTGAGGTCAAAAGCCTAGAAGGCTTTATAATCATTCCTAACCTATGAGCCTTCCCACTCATACTGACTAATCTATGGAAACCATGGAGGAATCAGCTTGTTCCAGGAACACTAAGTATGGCAGAATAAATTAGTTTTTGCTCCCCTATTTATTAGGAATTGATTTGGAAATATTGAGAGGCCTGAATCCCAACCACGTACACCAGTCTTGGCTAACTCAGGCTATACCATTAGGGCAAGGCTTGTAAGGCAAGCTTGTGTGGGGTTTGGAGAGCTAGACAGAGCCCATTTTCATCTAAGTGCAGCCACAATATAAGGGAAACCAGGGCACAGCTTTGGCAAGCCCACCCCCTACCCCACCCCTAAGCCCCTTTTCTCTTCTTGGCAGGACAGCTCAGACAGTTGTTACCTTCACACTTATTTTCATATTAAGCATGTTTGAGTAAATATTACACTCACCAAAATAACCCATCACTTAAAGAGTGTTTCACAAAGGGAACTGGAGGAAATAAAAAGAATATGGGCCCTTAATACTATGGACAATTTGCTTATTCTTGATTCAAAGCAGAAGAAAGAAGAAAGATGTATCCATAACTCAGAAGATCTAAGAAGTAAAGACAATTCTTCTATAGCTATTATTTAGAAATAATCCAATTCTCATGACAAATCTACCTAGAGCTCAAAATAAGGTGCTGAAATAAAGAGGAATGACTCAAGAAGTAGATTATTGTAGCAGTTAAGAGGTGGAAAAGGAATACCTCTGTTGCTGGGCCAGTGCACCATCCCCTTTTCTTTCTCTCTCCCTCTTGCTCAACCTTTCCCCAATAGGTCTTCTTCCAAGTCTTGTACTACCCAGGATATAGAAACCGGCAGGGTCATGATTTGTGACCACCAGACAGGAACACAGCAGGCAGATGTGAAATAGTTTAGCTTCATCAAGAGATTGCTCTAACTCTTAAGTTGACAAAGTATCTCATGCTATTAAGAAACAACAGAGTCCACACACGTGGCATTCTCTTGTCACCATGGCCTCACCAATATAATCAAGGTTCTTGAGGTCTAGTTCTACATGTGACAAAGCCAGAGGTACTCCTAGAGAGAGCACTGGGATTCCAGGTGAGACATGCCCTGGGTGACATGTGTTTCATTTGGAGGGTGAGGAAGGTGAGCTCCCTCACTGAGCTTTCATTCTGCACACATATACAGACTGCATCTAACATGCCCCTACGCAAACAGGAAAAACTAAGCTGCATTCAAGGGCCTAATGCTGTTCGTGACCATCCAAACTCTCTTACTTGGCCCCTGCATGCCAGGATGATGGCTTTTACTTAGCACTTAAAAATACTTAAGAGCACTCTTGTGAAAATATTCACAGTATGACCTAATAACTGGTAGTAAGTGGGATGCTCTCTAAAGCAAGAGGCAAATAAATAAAGAATGATTTTTCAGGATCTGTGTAACTGACCCACAGGTACACTGTCCTATAAGGGCCCAAGCTGATACATTCCCACCTGTCCATAGCAAAGAGAATACAGAGCGATTTGGGGGTACAGTTCAATTCTAACTCCTTTCCCCACAACGGTTAACAACCAAAACTCGTCAGCAAGGCCAAAGATACTGGAAATGTTAATAAGTAACCATTAGCTAAAAGGCGGCACTATAAGAGGTTTCAGGCATAGACCACACTTCAGTTTTGAGGTAAAAGAGCGGTGACAATGAGAGATGAGACAAGTTGAGCAAGTTTAAGACCAAAAGCAGTGTACATTTATTCCTCATTTTTTGTGCAAGAGTGTGAAGATGCATTTGAAAGAACCTGAAGGCTGAAGAGCATCAGCCATGGCCTCCAGGCTGGCCTGGTTCACAATTAAGAGTAGGAGAAGGGGAGGAAGAAAAGGTAACTTGCCTAGTTCACATGAACAATGCTTCTGGCAAACACGGTTGCTTACAAATTTCAAACTACATTTTACTAGAGTCAAGGGAAGACTTCAAAAAAGCCACATACAGTACAATTTAAAATTAGATGAACATTCTGCAAATGTTAGTGCAAAGTAATTATGTAGACTCTCCAGTACAAGACTGTGCTCGTATTTCCCAGGTTTGGTCAATGTTGCTCTTTTACAATTACAATCAGAGGCTGAACTTACCACACAGCAAGGCCCCTGTGTTCTATGTCCTATATATCAAGGGAATGTCACAAGGTTTTGGTGAAATGCAATTTAGTTTCATTCATAAAGCAAACTTCTTAATTAGTTTAACAGTCATGTTCCTGGAATGCTGCCCATCTGTTTTATGGAAATGCTTTTAAGCTTGTGCCCCTTCTTGTTCAGAGCATTACTCTAAAGCTATCCCTTTCACTATGTAAACTGGAATTGTCTCATGATTTTAAATGCAACCAATATAAATGAAAACATTTCAAGGGTGGGAGAAAAATCAATCACTAATCTCAGCTAGACAAAGTTCTTAAAATCAAAAAGCCTTATTCACACAAAGTTGTATGTAATGACTGTAGTAATCAGTTTATTACACAGATTAATCATTCTTTAACGTACAAGCTCCAGAGGAGCGACTGGGTCTTTAAATATACACAAGTATTTCCATCAAATGTATTTTCACCCTTACATCCAGATAGACCTAACCAGTTAAAAACATATGAAAAATAAGAGCTATTAGCTATGTATTAACTGAAAAACCACATACAAACCAAAGAATATGGAAGAGAAAAAGAGAGGTTGAAAAGGATGAAGGTTGAAGGGGTGGGAAGATGTAAAAGAGTTGGGGACAAAGCCCATCACACTTTAGGTACTAATAGCTCCAATCCATTTCATGTTGACCAGTTAAACTTAGACTTCAACATACGGGATGTGTGGGTACAGTTTAGTTTGGCTGGTCATAACATTCCCCTAAGACATAGGTAGGTCCATCGGAACAAAATGAATACAGAAACAGCTTCATGGTCTTCACACCTTGCTCTTCATAACTGTTTTATGTTTAAAAGGATTCCACTTAAAAACATTCTCTACAGGTTATTGGAGCTGCTTTTCCTCATCCAAGCACACACCATACCCACCAACCTCACCTTGCCGCTATCCACATGTAAATCCGTAAAGAAAGCTTTGAGTCTCACACCTAGGTTATGCCTGGAGAACTGGCCTGTCACACACACTTCTCTGCTAGGAGGCAATGTTGGTACAGGAGTACAGTATTTCTAGTTTGTTGTTCCAAGTATGTACAACACGCAGCACTGCTGTATCAGGTAAACATGTGCACAGGGGAAGATGAGGCATGGGCTCATAGAAAGCAGTCAAATGGAAATCAAAAGGACTTTCTCTTTCAGAGTTCCCCTATCTTTATTTGTAGAGGTTATCCAGTAATTTCTTGAATTACATCGCATACTTCTGAGTCCATTCCCGAGCTATTCTGTTGTACCTGTACACACAAAGAGAAGCTTGGCTTAATATAGGTGAGGTGGTGTCAATTAATAATCAACAGATTTCACTCATTACCCCATCTAGTAACTCTAGGGTCTAACTTTTAGGACCGTCAAACCCAAACTTCTAATGAGCACTTATTCAAATTAGCAAAAAAGAAATAGACAATGTGAAGCAATTTCCTGTAAATGCTACTTATAGATGATTCTGATTAAATTTCAGTACTTGCTTGAATATACCTTATTCCAGATACTTGACCAATCTAGTTCTATGAAAGGTCTTTAAATCTTGATTAATTTATTTGGGATTCTTGGAATTACTAACTCTGCATTATATAGTTCTTGAAACCATATACCAATAGGGATTACACTGACATAATATTTTCCTTTTTATGTCAATAAAGAACTGGTTCTGCCAGAGCAATTTGGTAGAAGAAACAGATGGGACTCTAATGCTCCAGAAGAATATTCCAATAGTAAAATAAGCAGAGCGAAAGCTTCTACAATTCTTCTTTTTTAATATCCAGGATATTTTATTTTTTATTGAAATATCATTTTATTGGGGGCTCTGACAACTCTTGTTACAATCCATACATCAATTGCATCCGACACATTAGTACATATATTCCAGCATTCTTTTCTAGACATTTACTTTCTAACGAGCCCTTGGGATCAGCTCCTCTTTTCTTCCCTCCCCCACCCCCACCCTCATGGCGCCTTGATTATAGATTATTATTTTCATATCTCAGTTTCTACAATTCTTCTGTGAGAAAAAGGATGCAGGGAAAGGTCTGCTGAACATGACTATCCCAATGACTCAGAACATCCTTCTGGAGGACATTCATGCCTACAAATCTAGGTATTGGATAAAAATGGTTCGCCAATAAAAAATACATATATTTTGCAAATTATCAGCAAAAAGTAGGATCTAAAATTCAGACCTAAACACAGACAAAACTAAGACCCTCTGTACAATTCTTTAATCTAATACATTTCAAGCAATCCTTTAATCCTTTATGTTTTCATTTTAGAAACTAATCTCTCTATTCAGGTTCCTCCAATCTCACTGACTATGCAAAACAGAAAAGGTTCAAACACTTTTGGTTACCTCTTTTGATATCCTGATCATGTTGCAGTAATTCACAGTACAACTCTAAAATATCTAAATTTTGTTGTGGGGTGGGGGCTTCCTTTATATTGTGCCAAATGGTGAAAAATAAATTCTCTCCTCGCATTGCTTTACAAATACCTACTTAAAGACATGAAAGCTCTTAATGAAAATGTTTTATGTCCAAAGCCAAGCACAGGACATAAAGCTGTTAGAAAAGCTTTACTGTAAAAATGTATTTTTTATAAACAGCAAGAATTATATGACACAATTAGCCCTACAATCAACACAGTCTCCTTGTAGTATCCAGTACAAATACTACTCTTTCTTCTTCCCAGGAAGGTATTTATTAGTTTCACTGGAAATACCTGGCCCACCTTCAGCCCTTAATTAACAAAGACTTGAGACAAACCTCCCCCATCCAACCACAGATCCTTCTGTCTAGAGGTCATACTTACTTTTCTCTATCTGTTTTGTAGATCCGAGCAATCTCAGGCACTAAAGGGTCATCTGGATTGGGATCACACAACAGAGAACAGATGGATAAGAGTACTAAAAAGAAAAAATGGTTACATTAGTGGAGAATAAAAGCAAAGGTTTGGGAGAACAGAAAACCCTAAGAGCCTAGGGTTCTTGAAGTGCCTAGCAATTTCATTCTACCTGCCCTTTAACACCAATAATTCGACCAAGATTTAAGAAACTGAAACACATTTCTGGTTCAGTCACTAAATAAATAAGTCTACATATAAATAACTACAGAAAATTAATGTTCGGTGATATTTTGGTTTCTCCTATATGAGCCCCTTTGGTTCAAAGTTTCCAGGTAATGCCATAACGTAAGAATCTCTAATAGAACGTTCTCTATGTTTCAACTACAAAGAATTGACTTGTCCAATGTCCAGGGCAAGTGAATGAGAAGAATTAGAACCTAGTAGGTCTTCCAAATCCAAGAGCAAGAACATTTTTCAGAGCCCATGAAGTTGAATTTTTAGAAGTTTATGTTCAGGAGTGAATAGTTCAAAATTCCACAGCAAGTACAAAAGTACACAACAGAAAACTATTAGTCAGAAATGAGAAACATGAAACCCAACAATCACTACTTCCTCAATCGGAGGTACCAGATTCAGATACAACACATCTGTTTCATTTTTAATTGAAAGCAATTTAGCTTTTGGCCCCAAAGGGGGGGGGGTGTCACACATATTATAGAGGGTACAACATACGAAGGCCTCAAATTCTTTTCAGCGATGATTTAGAATCTCATTTAAGCCATTTCCTCTGTGACAAACTGGGATGTAACTGATTATGAGGGCAAATTTCAATGGTACGATGTGCTCTGTTCAAATCTGTTGTAAATTCTTTACTGAATGTAGAAAAGGGCAAGCTCAGTAGCTTCGGACACACTGAAATAAATTCCAATCATTCCATTCTGAGACAATAAAACACAGCTATTTGATTTTTTTCTAATGCTCTATAACAAGAAGACAATAACGCTGACCCTCCATTACTCCCCAAACATCAAATTCAGCAGGAAAAGGATTTACTTATTTTCCTATGAAATTGATTCTGTAGAGATCCAGGGCTTCTGAGATGTGAAGAAAAATTTGACATGCCCTTTTCATCATTCAGTGTGGTGGCCAAAAAAAGCTACTTCCCTGCTTTCAGAGCATATGGACAATAAAAACACCAGGAAAGATGTTTTGACTCTTCCTTCCTATTGCCCACAAGTCTCTGTCTGGCAGATAGCATTCCTCAAACATCTTCTCTTTCCACTGTTGGGCATTATCACCTAATGCCCTCTTCAAGCACAAATCACTCTAACAGCAATTAAGAAAGACCTCATGTACTTATCAAAACTAGCAACAGGAAGTTTACATTTTAAATGTTCAAGAAATAATTACCTAAAAGAAGAAAGCTATCCAACCTATCAAACTGGCAAGATTACAACTAATTCTTCATTTAAAATTGACAGATTACCAAGTTGGTGTTATAAATTCTAGTTACTCTCCTAATTATTTAGTAAGGTAACATTAAAAAAAACCAATATTTTAAAGCTGCTTTTCTGACTTTCTTCCAGGAAAGGAAGACGGGTGGTAATCTAGATCTAGTCAAAGAATTCTTAGTACACTAAGGATCTTTCAATTCCTGGGATAGTGATTTGGGCTTATGCTCTGTTGGAAGTTAATAACCAATTTCTATTTCCACAGCTAATGAAGAAAAGATTTTGGAGAAGAACTGATGCATCTGAATTAGGGTGCTGAATATAGAAAGTACCACAGACTTCAGAAGAACAAACAAATCTGTTTTGCAGGAAATATAGCCAAAATGTCCCTTAGAAGCAAGGATGGTGGGATTTCATCTCACATATTTTGGGTATGCTATCAGGAGAGATTAGTCCCTGGAGAAAGACATCTTGCTCGGTAAAGTAGAAGGTCAATGAAAAAGAGGAAGGCCCTCTCAATGAGTTGGACTGATACAGTGGCTCCAACAATGGGCTCAAACGCAAGATTACAAGGACAGTGCAGAACCTGGCAGTGGTTTTGTTCTGTCCTCTTGTACACGGGTTCACCATGAATCAGAACGAACTCAATGGGAATGAACACTTCCACAGCTTGCATAGGCTCTTCACGAAACGCCTACACTTCCAACTGTATGCAGGCTTCACGAGTAGAGTATGCTCAGAATATACAAATTTGTATATGTCTTAACTCACAGTCACTTCTAATTCTAAAGATATATATAGTTTAGTGATTTCATAAAAGGTGGTGTAGTGGTTACTCATTGGGCTGCAATCCGCAGGGTTGGCAGTTTGAAACCACCATGTACTCTTTAGGAGAAAGATGGGCTTTCTACTCCAGTAAACAGTCTCGAAACTCAAAGGGGCAGTTCTACTCTGTCCTGGAGGACACTATGAGTTGGCATCCACTTGATGGCAATGAGTGGTTTCATAGCACGCTTAACTGCTTCCTTCAAGTTTTCTGTATATTAAATGCCTAACATACATCTTGAAACAGAAGGAATCCAGAATCAAAGTCAATGCCTTTGAAAATAGGCTAAATCATCCTTTGTTAAAGGATGATTATTATCACCCACAGCCTTTCCTACTCAAGGACATTCACAGAACTGATTGTTCATATACCAGGGATACCCAAAACAAACAAAAAAAGAAAAACAGATTTTTTTTCCTCAAAGCTATGTATTGAAATTTTTTTACAAAACAACCTTATCACTTTCAAAGTACTCTATGTTACATTTAATCTGTTTGTCAAATCTGTTTTCATTCTTGGAAACATTTCTTAAACTCGTCTTTTTGGAGGGCTGACAGCACCTCCCTTGTTGTATTCTTCACCTCTTCTGCATCTTCAAATCATGGTCCTTTCATGTCTCTCTTCATTCACAGAAACAAAAAGAAGTCACATAGAGCGAGGTCAGGTGAGTAAGGTGTGTGGGGCAAGAGAAGCATGCTGTTTTTTGCTGCCCCCTGCCCCCCCAAAAACAAAAAACTAGCCCGCTAAGATAGCTGTGTGAGCAGGTCCATTGACATGATAGCAGAGTAGATGCACTGTCGTGGTAGCAAAGCCAGTCCCTTTTTTGTCACACACTGGTATGCAATCTTTTCAGAACCTCTAAATAGAAAGTTTGATGAATAGTCTGACCTAGTGGAATGAACTCCAAATGCACACAAATCATATCATATCAAATAACAAACGAGCACCATCCTGATCTTTGATTTATTTCACTTGACAAGCTTTTTTTGGGTGAGGTGACTATGGCATCTTCTACTGGCTTGTTTTATGTTTGCTTTTGGGGTTGTAAAAAAATCATCAAGTCTTGTCACCAGTAATGACCTGGGGTGGGGGCGGGGGTGGGGGTCTGAGTTCCTTCAATGCTGTTCTTCCAAAGCATGGCATGTTTCCATTCAACATTCTTTTTCCTGGTCAGTCAGAACTCAAGGCACAAATTTCACTGCAACCCTTCTCATTCCCAAATCTTCCAATAAAATTCACTTAATTTTGTTGACATTTTCATCCATTCGGGAAGCTGACAGATGTCCATAATGAAGTTTGTCATCAATCAACATTTCACCTTTTTGGAGCGAGAAAACCAGTCATACTCTTGAGTTTTTCCAATAGCACTGTCCTTGTAAGCTGTGGGCAACATCTTAACAGTTTCTGTGGCATTTTTCCCAAGCAGGAAACAAAATTTCACAGCCGCAAACTGTTCTCTTAAATCAGCCATTACAAAACAAAACAAGACAAAAAAACAAGGTTTGAGCAAAAAACGCTTTTACATAAAAACTCACTGTGACCAGAGAGAACCTACCTAGACTTATTGCTAGCCTAGTGGGGAAATGCACACTACGAAGTTCCACTCTGCCCAGCCAGTTCCAGTTTTTGTTTGGTTTCTCTCTTTCTCTTTCTTTTCTTTTTTTTTTGGGGGGGGGGCGGCGCAAAAGATCCAGAAAACATAACTAAACAAACACTGGCATTAATTAAAGCATTAAACTAGCCTAGGTTAAGTCAATATGATAAAATTCAACAAATTGGCACACCAATATTTTTTAAAAATAGGGATCCAGATAGAGCACATCACAAGACAAACAAATGTCTAATAGCCCTGGGTTTTAAAATACTACAACATCAACAACAAATATGGGGAAAATGAAGATATATGCAATTGTTTCAGTTACCTCATAAGTACCCAAACTTATTTGGACTCAATGTCACCAGGTCAATGCCAACTCAGTGACCCTATACTATAGGGCAGGTAAAGCTGCCCCTGGGGGTTTCCGAAACAGTATCCTTGTGGGAGTAGAAGGCCACATCTTGGGCAGATTGGCTGGTGGTTTTGAATCGCAGACCTTTGGCTAGCAGCTCTACACATAACCCACTACGCCACCAGGATTCCCAAATACCAAAACTCACATGATCTGTTACTTTCTAGTGTTTTAACATACTTTTTGTACCCAGCTCAAGCTACAATGTATAAAAATTGTACAGCCTGATTTTGTTATAGTATTTTCTGAAAAATCTGTGAAGAACAATGACCTATTAATAGACTACTGTTGAACCTTTAAGTGGTATATAATTTTCAGAAATAAATACAGCTGTTTCAAATGTGCTCGCATATAAAGCATTTTGATTACTTGGGACTGTTTCTCAGGATAGATGAATGACCCCAAGAACCACGGGGTCAAAGGGTATATATAGATGAATCTATCTTTCAATAGATATTCAGAGTATTCTACCAAAGATCTATACAGATCTACCTGTGGCTGAGTACTCATCTCAATACACCCTACCACCATTTCATCTCCTTTTAGAAGATCTTTGTTAATTAGTAGGGGTGAAAAGTGGAAATTCATTTTAATGTTTACTTTGGGATCTGGCTCCCTGACATCCTCTTATCTGATTTTTTTTTGTTTAAAACACAAATACACACAACCATTGTCGAGTTGATTCCAACACATGGCGAACCACGGTATTTGTAGTCTATTTCCCAAATTTGTATTTTGACAAACTTTCCATTATACAAATGCAACTTTTAAAGATATTTTTTGCGATTTCCTTTTTAATGAAGGTACATCTACTGATCTACTTTTATCAATTTTCAGATTATAAAGCTGAGATTTGATACTGATTTTTGTTCTCTTCTATAAAGTATGGTTTAATTTTTAATCTACTGTGATCTCATTTTGAAATAATGCACTATGTCAAATTGTGGCAGTTACATAATCTCCTGTCAACTTGAGTGAAGGGGTGGAGTCTAGCCAATAAGGTCTCTGTGTGTAGGGAGGGCCTTCTCCTGAGGATTTTGGGAGCTCCTATCTTCCTGGAGGCAGGACACACTTTCTGCTACACATTCCCGTTGACAAGCCACATGGAGCTACACTGATGGAGCCAGAGCCCTGGAGCTAGAGTAAATATGTGGGGACCCACGCCAGTACTGAGATGCTTCCACTGGCAATGGATCCACAAGACTCTCCACCCACTGGCCTGTGATCTTCTTGCAGTTAGCATCATTGCATGTGTTATGTGAATATGTAGAATTTATAGACTGCTATCGGACATATGGGCTTAATATCAGACTTAAGGACTTGATCCTGGACTGGGATTTTTTTTAAAAATCATTTTATTAGGGGCTCATACAACTCTTATCAGAATCCATACATACATCAATTGTGCAAAGCACATTTGTACATTCATTGCCCTCATCATTCTCAAAACATCTGCTCTCCACTTAAGCCCCCAGCATCAGCTCATTCTTCTCCTTCTTCCCGGCTCCCCCCTCCCTCATGAACCCTTGATAATTTATAAATTATCATTATTTTGTCATATCTTGCACTGTCTGAATGCCCTTCACCCACTTTTCTGTTGTCCATCCCCCAGGGAGGAGGTTATATGTAGATCCTTGTAATCAGCTCCCCCTTTCCAACCACTCTCCTGGTATCGCAACAAAATAAAACAAAACGACAACAAACCAATGACAAAAAACAAAACACAAGAAAGCAAAGCTTGTAGTTAGTTCAAGGACTGTTTGTTGGCCTTTAGGAGTGTTTTCCAGTCGAGTCTGTTGGGGCACCAAGCCCTGGTCCCTTGCTGTTCTGTTACACACCCTTAGTGGTTTGCCTCGGTATGGTGGGATCAAACGGGGCAGAATTCCCACACGGTGTCTCCAGTGTTGTCCCTTGTAGGGCTATGGGTCAGTGAGGGTTGTTATGTCTCATAGTGGGGCCGGCCATGTGGTCTTCTCTGTGGATTGGCTGATCTGAGGGGGAATATTGTCCTTAAGGATTGGTGGGCCAGGATGTCCTTCACTCTTTCTTCCTCCCCCTTCATTTGCTCCTGTCTAATCTGATCAGACAAGTTCCTCTTCTGGAGCTGCATTTTCAGTGCTGTCCTCTGAAAAAAATTCTTCTGGGAGGAGGGGCAGGTGTCCACGTAGTTGGGATTGGACTGGGATGTTTTCTTTTCTTTTTTTTGTGTGGATGTTTTCTTAACATACAATTAATTACGCTATGATATAAAACTCACACACACACACACACACACACACACACACACACACACACGAGTGTCTCTGGGTTTGTTTTTTCTATTCAACCCAGACTGATACACAAATCAAAATAAAAGGCAAGGATAGCTAACTATACAGTTCAGTTCTCTGATTCTGATAATAATAACAAAAAAAATCTCCAATCTATCTATGCAAAGCAGTCAGGTCTTATTTAGAAGAACTACTAGCTCTCATCATAAATCAAGGAACTTTCTTTATACAATTATAAACACACATTATAGCAGAAAATTAGATGCTCAAATGAAAATGTGTTAAATTGCCCACTTTAGGGATTATGGATGCTCCCAATAGAAACAAATTTAAGAGTAAGAGATGCATTTTTCAGATACCTAATATGTGTTTCTATAGAGCAAACTTCCCTCTAAAAAGGCTATTTCCAATTCTGAAACTGTATCTATCCTTTCTGTTCACAAATATTAAGATTGGAAGACATATTGTTTTCTATACTAACAATGCTCTTAAAAAATCCATGTCAAATAATCATATTCCTATCTAAACTTAAATAGCACAAGAGTAGTCACTACATCAAGGAATATATACACCTGGAAATCCAACTCTATCCAGTCTCAAAGTCTATTCAAGAATGAGGAAAAAGTGTTAGCTCCTTCTAAAAGGCATAAGCAAGTCACGAAGTAACGGTGAAGAAATAAGCAGGGGCCTGCATATCAGAAAGAATAGTGCCTGGGGTCTTAAAGGCATGTCTTAAAATAAGCAGCCATCTATCTGAGGAATCAGCTAAGACCAAAGAGAAGGAGCATACCAGCCTATGAGATCCCAAAATGGTAAATAATAAAGTCCAAAATGACAGAAGGGAAATTGGACTAGAACTTAAATTCGGAGTACCCGGTTTTCAGGCTATGGATTATAATGAAAGCCCAAATCCATTTGCAGAGTCCTCACACAAATTAACCCTCCACTGAATTTCCTCAGACTCCATTGCCTAGGGATAAGAATAGTCTTGTCTTCAGACAGGGCACACCGGAAAGTGGATTACTGCAGATATAGTTAGGTTAAAACAACATTTTAACATTTGTTTTCCCATTTGACCCATTTTTAATTTGTTTTAGTTTCTCTTATCTTCTTTTGGATTGAATTTTTTCTGTGTTTTATTTTGTTGCCATTGTCAGGATTTTTTTCCCGTTGTTAAGATTTTTAGTATGAATTTCTCTATATGAAGTTCAAGATAGGTAATCCGTACAGACAGTAACTAGATTAACAGTTCCTTAAGGGTACAGCAAAGGAGGCTCAAAGGTAATGGGAAGCTAGTAATAATGAGTACAAGTAGGAAGAAAATTGAGGAGGGAGGGAGGGGGAAAATGAGGAGCTGATACCAAGGGCTCAAGTAGAAAGCAAATGTTTTGAGAATGATGATGGCAACAAATGTACAAATGTGCTTGACACGATGGATAGATGTATGGATTGTGGTAAGAGTTGTACGAGCCCCCAATAAAATGATTTAAAAAAAAGACTGAAGAAAATGTTCTAAAACTGATTGTAGGGATGACTACATAAATCTAATATATTTAAATCATTGAATTATGTATGGCATGTGAATTACATGCTAATAAAATTGTTTTTAGAAAATGAAAATAGGTACGAGTAATCTTGTCAAAAGTGAGTAACCTTAATGACAAAAAAATAAATAAATAAAAATAACAACCAAAAATATGTTGCTATACCTTGGTATCAAACATCCAGTCTATATTACCTTTTGAAATAGTTAGTGCCGGAGACCACTGTGATCGTAGAATATCAAGACAAATGCTGCCATTACTGTTAATATTTGGATGGTAAATCCTTGTAGTAAATGCAACCTAGAGAAAAAATAAATATGCTTTGTAAACTGGTTTATCAGTATCATAAAAAGCACATAAAAAGCAATCATCACATCCAAATTACCTTAGGTGGTTTGAAGGGGTAATCTGTTGGGAAATGAATTGTCAAGAAAAATACTCCACCCTGATAGGGACTGTCATTCTGTTGATGACAAAAAAAGTAGAATTATATAAGCCATTTCAGTGAATTATATAAACCATTTATTCTGAAATTAATGTGGATACTTACTGGCCCCATTATTGTAGCTTGCCAGTGGAACACTGAAAAAGAACGACAAAATCACCATGAAGAAATATCCACATCATACTATAACATAGGAATATATCACTCTGCATCTAATCCTAGTTTATATATAAGCACTTCAATAATAAGTCATAGGAAGAATGAGGAATGTATCAATAGTGAGCCTAAAAGGAGGTAGAGGGGGTGGGGGACCTAAAATGGTCTAGAACACTAAACAAGATTTTTGGTTGCTAAAGCATCCTGAAAACTAAAGTTTACTAGGGATATAAACTTTTAGATAAGGTCCAAGGTTCTATTTTGAAATAGGCATTTGGTTACCTAAAGGGTTAAACAAAATGAAAACGCATTGACTTCTAGTTGATTCTGATTCATAGCACCCCTTTAGGGTGGTGCAGAACTGCCAAGAAGGTTTCCAAGGCTTTAAATCTTTAAGGATCCTGGACCAGCTGGTGGGCTCCAACGACTAATTGTCTGGCTAGTAGCTGAGACCTTGAACCATTGCACAACCAAGGATTCTTCAAGTGTAAAGGTAGAGGCAAAAGATTCCATTCTTTGATGCATTATATCATCATCACCGTCCCAACACTGTGATATACAAAATACTATATTTATAATGCTAATTGAGGAGGACAGACAGGAAAAGTCAACTCTCATGTGAAGGTCTTCAGAATTACTAACTGTTCAACTAGAGAAAACAGTAGCTACTAAAAGTGCAAGCTTAGGGGGGAGAGGGGAGTTGATAGCACTGATGATTGTATAGCCCCATCTGATGGGATTGAACAACAGAACTGTATAGGAAGGGAAGGGATATATTGGAATGAGTTTAGGTATGTCAACAACAAAAAAATTTTTTTTACGTCCAAGATTAACCACGAACTCTAAGGGTAATCTCTTCAAATTGCAGGAAAGGGCACTTGTTTCACTTCTAAGCTAGTGCAGAATATAGCACAGAGACCTCAAAGTCAGAATTTGTGCTTATAAAGGAAGCAAATTTATCAATTAACAGTTATACTAGAATCTGATCAGTTTAAGAGAAGTTATCATTGGGATTTGAGATCCAGAACCAAAACCAAGGTAACTACTGCTCCAAGACAAGACATATGCAGACTAAAACAACCTATCAGCAATATAAGTCTTCAAGTTTCTTCTGAGTTCCTGCATATTGTTTGTTGTTTTTTTTTCATGTATAAGAGAGTTTTATATAAAGGTTAAGTGCGCATCAAGAAAACATCCCAACCCAGTGCTGCCCAAGCCCACAAGTCCAACATTAACCCATATGTCCAAAACCAATCCACAAAGTCCTCCTCCATATCACAAAACAGACGCAATGATGCTGACTGCAGGAGGAAAGCCCAGTCAGTGAATGTGTAAACAGCTCAGGGCTGGCTGGGGGGTCTCCACACGGCTGCTCCAGCACCCAGGGATGCATCGGGGTAGGTCCATGTGGCTTCTCAAAGATGTCTTACAGGAAGTGAGCCTTGCCTGCTAAAGCAGGGAACTGGCTAAGGCAACTGCACTCCGGTCCAACCATCAGAAAGCAAGAGACCTATGTCTCCACAGTAGAAAGATTAACCATTAACGCCTTTTCCAGGATGCGAGGTTCCAATTGAAAGGAGCAACTGAATTACAATACAAAATTAAGTAACAATTGTTCAGTCTCCGTAGAGACTGTCAAAAATTGCCAATGCCGACTATATTTCAAGTCGTCACGGCGGGGTATTGGGAAAAGTTTTCAATTAGCAATAATCGCGCCTCGGATAAACCTCACTGGCTACGGTATTGCCACTGCGCAGAGCTAAGTTCCTGCATATTGTATCTAATTGGTTTATTGCTCACTGGGATCCAAACTCATAGATTGCTTATCAGGAATTAAAGGTGAATGAGGATTTTTCTCAGATTACCCATACTAGTACTTTCATTCATTTTGCCAATTTTTTTTTTAGCAGAGTAGCTAAGGGGAAAGTCACTTTGAGTCACTAAGACTGGTCGTAGGCTATGAACAGTCCCCTAAGTCATGGTAACAAAGGTCAAACACTGGGATGGCTAAATGAAAGGCCAGTGGTTTGAAATCAGCTGCTCTGAGAGAAAAAGATGTAGCAGTCTGTTTCTTGTATGATTTATAGCTTTGGAAATCCTATAGGGCAGTTGGAACATGTCCTATGGATCACCATGAGTTGGAATTGACTCTAGAGCACTGTTTTGTTTTTAATATTCTGTTTATAGGAAAAATAAGAGAACCTCATTGTTTATAATTACAAACATATGGACAACTGGAATAAACAAGCCCCACAACAAGACTGAAAACATTATTACACAAAAGAATAACCAAACTCTACAGGACCTGTTTTCAGTTATGCTCTTCCACGTAATTATTTATTTAATTTGAGTGGCTACAAATAAGGCAGAATTACACTTGCATTTCTGCTTAAAGTAGTAAGAGTCAGAAAAGAGAGCCCTTAGATAATAAATTATATAAGTATTACCCATTTTATTAAGGCCTAATCTCTTCTTCTGCTCTTTTAAAGATCTTTTCTTCTCTTGTTAAAAATACTATCAGACTTTAGAAGTTAGAGAACTTTACATCAGAACAAATCTTTAACTAAAGGTAAAAATTTCCATCATTCTTCCTACCTGCAAAAAACAAAGCATATTTTATGCTCAGGGGTAACAACCTATTATAAACAGGACCACCTAAAATCACAGCAAGCGATGTGGAGCAGAGAAGACAACAGCTGAAAACGAAGAGAATTACAATTATGGAAAGGATAAGAACAGAAGATGGGAAAAGATCGGCACTTGCAAGTCATATAAAAATCTCCAGGGGGGGTGCGGCGGGTGGGGGAAGATACCTTCGTGTACTAATGTTAAGATTCTTACTTTATCAAGAACTCTTCCAAACATTATCCACAAATTATTTCATATGAAACTTGTTTAATTAGTAAATTGTATTTATATCATAATCTCCAACTTAACTGTGTTAACCACCAACATTAAAATCTCTAAAGAGAAAAAAAAAACCTATCAAACATGTTGGTTTTTTAAAAATTGGGAGTGAATACTTATCATTCCATAGTTCAATCACATCAAGCAGAACTGTACAATAGCTACCAATGAAAAAAATTATTTTTTCACTTTTTTCCTTTTCTTTTTCTTGTTTTTTTTTTCACAATCAGTTTTTATCCAACATGTTGATACCCAACTTTTTGCCTTCACTATTCTGAATATTGCTACCAAAAAAGTGAGTGAACACACACACCACTATGTCTTTAAAAATATGAGTGACAAAAAAAAAAATTCTGAGTGACATTCTAAAATTAATTGTGGTAATGATGCTACAACACTTCTTGATTATGATCAATCTACTGAATTGTATATTTGGATTATGTCTCGATAAACTGTTTTATTAAAAAAAGTGGCTGGGAAAAGAAAGAAAATGGCCAATGTAAGGCAACAGAGACCAATGATATTTATATGGCTTATAAAGAGTTCTAGAGTACCAACAAAAGACAGAAAGATAAACTTCTGTAACATGAATTTAATTAGTAAAAGCAAGAAGGATCCACTGTTTAAATCTTTATTTGGGCATTCTGCCTTACTGGTTAAATTGTAAGAACACCTATGGCTTAGGTTTCTCCTGGAATTCTCTTACAACCCCTAGTCCAAGGTAACAAGAGAATACTGAATCTGTCCTACATTACAATGGTTCTATAAACAGTGCGAGAATTGCTAGAGGTTCCAGTTGGAAAGAATGCTAGGATAGTTACTGGATGAAATGCTTGGCCATAAACATAAAATATCACTGTATTTCAAACAAATATCTATTTCAAAGAATGTTTAGTTTGTTGTTCAAAATGAAAATTCATGGTACCACCAAAATGAAATTCACAGTACAAACAAAAATCACATAAAATTTAAAGATTTTAAAAAGTCAAAATTTTACAGTATGATATAGTAAAAAACAAACAGAATTGCCATTATCATCTTGGCTTAATACTGTCAAACCAAATTAACCAGAGAAAGCTAAGTATGTTTTATGAGAGCTTAAATGTAATAGTCACAGCTCAATGACTATTCTTTAGTATTACGGATGAAGCCTTGAGGTTAAAAGAGATAGTGAGAATATTTGTTACAATTTGAGCCAGAATCTCAGGAGACCTGAGATTAGACCTGAATGTATAGATCTCTAGAGAGTTACATTCACCAAGTGTTCAAAACAAAAGAAAATGTCACAGATTATATAACCAACAAATATTCCATTTATTTCTCCTTTCAGGAACCAGTCTCCTTTGTGCTTACCAAATCTTTATAGAAAAAGAGTGTTAACAGTACACCAAAATCTGAATTGTTTTAAAAGTATTCTACATAAATTTAGTCTTACACTAAATGTCAATAACATGGGGCTAGATTTGAAAGCTAGAATAGGCAGCTCAAAAATTTCAATTTTTTCTGACAATTTCTTACTCCTCAGATTAAATTGTTTCTCTACAACAAAAAATGATTAAAGTACATTGAGCAATCAAAACATTTTTTCTATCCCTGTGTAAAGACCTGGTCAAGTTCTGATTTTTTAAAACAGTAATTTATCCTCAAGCACAAACAAAATTTAAGTACAAAGAGGCATCAAAAAAGTTCAAGGAAATTAAAAACACTTTTTATTGTGAATTGGGTGAAGGTTTACAGAGTAAATTCGTCCATTCAACAATACATACATTTTGTTTCATGTCATTGAGAGCAATTCCACGAAGTATCATCCATTATTCCACTCCTTCCATGTTGTTTCCTATTTGTGTCCTTCCTCCTTTTCCATCTTCTGAATTTTGTCCTTGGGTAAAATGTTGTCCCCTTCAGTATTTTGGGTGTGCACATCTCCCTAGTGCTACCAGCCTCCATACAGATTTGTCTATTCTTTGGCAGCAAACTGAGTCATATGAGGTTCATTTCCACTCCTGAAGGGTGGCTGAGGGGCACAGTCTTAAGAGTTCCACTAGCCTCTATCCAACCAGTAGGACTTGGTCTT